TTATTTTTTATATGTAAGACTCTCTCTCTCTCTCGTTTGTGTCTGTGAAGTAAAATAAAAATAGGAAACTGAAGCCATTTCCCGTCATTTACACGAGGAAGTCTTTATTTTAGTAAATCCTTCTGAGTGTACCAAGGATTTTAACAACTTAGATTGATTTTAATTTTATTTAGTGTCACATAGTTAACCAATTAGTACAAAACAGATGGATTCTTCGATGAACACTACCGTCACTATGAATGTGACAGAAGTAATAAGTGATACGAGGGATCTTGACCGATGGAACGAAAAGTTGGCCCTTCGACTAACTCCGAATAATGTTATACTCTCCTTGTATATTTTTGTTGGTCTCTTCGGAAACGGTGCTGTTTTTCTTACTTACTGCTTGAGCTCAAATCTTCAAAACCAGGAGAGATATTTTATTCCAATACTGGCTCTGGCTGATTTGTTCACATCCATTATCTGTTCATCATTTGGCATTGTTTGGAATTTTATGCAGATCAACTTTGAAAATAAACTGCTTTGCATTGTTGGAAACTTTTTCATTGTAATTACACAGAGTACTTCTGTTTCTCTCCTTTTTATAATATCTGTGCAGAGATACCTAAAGATCTGTAAGCAAGTAGACATGTCAATCAAAGTTCAAAGATTAACACTGGTAATCGTCATAATTGCTAGTGTATCCCTCGGCGTATGGTCTACTTTTTATTTCAGAATATCGGAATTTAGAATTTCAAAATTAAGAGAAGACATTCAACTGACAGGATTCAGGTGTAAACTTGTCAAAAGCAAAAATGGTGGTGGAGTTATTTTTGGAGCAACACTTCTCCTTTCTATCGTATCAATTATGATATCCATGTTGGTGGTGTATGGTAAAATTGCATATAAAATTGTTACACATATTAAACAGGTGGGAGTAACTATTTCTAAATCGGAGGGCATCGAAAGATCGGAAGATTCTAGCAGGGATCTCTCAAATACAAATATAAAATCAGAAGATATGAATGAACTCGAGGATGTGGAAAATATTGCTTTGCCTGAGTGTTCCAAAGAGAGCAAAAGTATTGCAGCAAAACGTAACCTTCCTGCCAAAACAAAACAACAAGGAAAACCAAAAAGAAAACGCAACTTTGGACATACATTCACATTAATGTTTATGCTGATCACTATTGTTTTTGTTGTGTGTTACATCACAAAAACAATTCTGATGTTACTTGAAAGCTTAGACACTCATTTCTGGGACTTTACATCGGCTGAAAAACGTGCTGGAGTTCTATTTCTGTATAGCATCTATATTGTAAATAGTATTGTAAATCCCTTTGTATATGCTTTTCTTGACGCAAAGTTTACTGCAGAGTTCAAGAAATTGTACTTAAGTTTCACATCAACTTTACAGAATGTCTTCTGTCTTCCTTCTTAGAATGAAACGATATACAAGTAACCTAGTCTAATGAATATCTCTGTGTTATTTAAAGTCAGCGTGAATTGTGATTACATGTATTGAGATTTTTTTTATTAATTTAAACAAAAACATCTTCTAATTTTTGACATTTAAATATACATACATTTTATTATTTTGTTTAGTTTCCTTAAATGCTTTAGTGAAAAAAGAACCTTCCTTACACAGTATCATAGATAACACCATAACATAAAAAAAATTTAAGAAAACAGGAAAAAACAAACTAGTTTTTTAAAAATAAAATCAAATCAATCAAAATCAAATTAGGAATGAACGGAAGAAAAAGCTAAGATATATTTTTTTAAGAGGGGAGAACATGGAAGAAATGATATAAAAATATCTGCTTTTAAATGGCAATAGGTGTAACATGAGTTGTTTGTTTAAGAAAGAATATGAATGTTAATAAAATGTTCTTAAAAATCCTTATTAGTATCATCCCAAAATTAAGCATGGTGATGTTTTATTATCTTTTTTTAGGACTAAGCATTTCTTCATCATAATAAGTACAACTTATTTTTTAAACCGCTTTTAACCAAGAAGTTTATATAAGAGCCAAATAATAAGACCTCTATGTAGAAACGGATAACAATATGACTATATCTGAGAAATTAGTCATCTGGAATAACTTGCAGGCAAAACAATTAATTCCGAACAATGTGGTTTTTTCTTTATATATAATTACCAGTCTTGTGGAAAATTCAAATGTAATTTTTGATTTCGGTGTAATTCAGGTGTAAGGCAACGGAAATAAAAGACAATCGGAGAATAGTGTACAAATTCACCCTCATGTTCATGCTCATTACCATCATTTTTCTAATCTGTTACATCCCAAAGCTTATAATTATTTTGATGGAAGCAAGAAATCTAAACTTCTGGGAGCAGTTTTCAGATTCTGCAAGAGCTGGAGTCTTGTTAGCTTACAAAATATAATCAACAATATAACGAATCCATTCATATATGCAACGGATATATATATAGCTTTATATAATTTTCATTTTTCTATATTTAGATAAGATACCCGGTAATATGATGCATTCACTATATCCTTAGACAAGAGTACACAGCGGGTGTGACCGGTCAGCAGGAGATGCTTACTCCTCCATGGCACCTGATCCCACCTCTGATGTTTTGGAGGCCCCTGTTTGCTCTGCTCTTATTTTGTATCGCTTAATGGACTTTTGATCTTGAATACTGTTCGTTATCTCCATATGTTTCATTAATAAAGATCGTCAAAGAGAATCAAGACGTGGTGTGAATCAATTTGGGGTATTCAAAAACTCATAGAAATTTACAAAAATTGTGGAAATTTTTATTAAAACCTTTCAAAGGAATCAATAGCATTAATAGATACCACTTGTCAACCATTTATACTACCATTCTTCATGTTAAAAAAGTACATCAAATGTGTAGCTGCTTTTTCTTCTAGGATGAGAATCTAGGATGAGATACGTAAATTTTCATACCTTGTCATTTGTATTCTACAGACTTAGTTTATAAACCAGAAAATTCTAATTCTACACACATTTATTTAGAGGCTGATATTTTAAAAACAGGCAGAGGTTCCTCTTTACTCTGTTTCATATTTGGATATTTTACTACCAAAAAAAACTTTAATGGTAATCTAACAACCAAGCTTTATGATCAACACCAACTTCCCATACTTATGTGGCAATATATTAGTAACTTCATCACCTGCATACGGGGTTTATATCTCACAAATTATTCGATAGATATGTAAAGTTAGCTACTTGTAACTGGCCACTAGTAGCTGGCTACAAGTGGGTAAAGTTGGCAACTAGTAGCTGGCTACAAGAAGTGAGTAAAGTTGACTACAAGTAACTGGCTACCTTTTGTGTTAAATTGTGCAATTTTCGGATACAAATATTAATATTATTGAAGTAACTGGATTTTAACATCGCTGATATCCACTGATATTGCTAATAAAAACAATCTTTTAGCTTTTCCGCATGATCTTGCACTGAAGTTACCAAGAAATCGTTGGAAATAAACTCAGCTACTAGTGCCTTTTGTGTAAAATTATGCAGTTACCATGATATCGTTAGTAATAAACTTAGCTACTAGTACCTTTTGTGTAAAATTGTGCAATTTTGGGATACAACTGTTGATTATTGAAGTAGCTGGATTTTAACATCGCTGATATCCACTGATATTGCTAATAAAAACAATCTTTTAGCTTTTCTGCATGATCTGGCACTGAAGATACCAAGATGTCATCTAAGTAAAAATCCGGCTACTTCAATAATATCAACATTATAACCCAATATTGCACGATTTTAAACAAAAGATACTAGTAGCTGAGTTTATTTCTAACGATATCTTGGTAATTTCAGTGCCAGATCGTGTGGAAAAGCTAAAAGATTGTTTTTATCAGCAATATCAGTGGATATCTGCGATGTTAAAATCCAGCTACTTCAAGAATATCAACATTTGTATCCCAAAATTGCATAATTTTACACAAAAGGTACTAGAAGGTTCAAGTCATTTTCTGCCAACTTTACCCACTTGTCGTAGCCAGTTATTAGTAGCTAACTTTACATATCTTTATTCGATACCCGATAGCGTGCTCTGCGTATGTACAATTTCTAAAACGTGGTAATTTATTGGCAAACAAGTTAATGAAACAAGAATATCAGCAGTCTCGGTTAAATTCATCATTTCGTACGTTCTGTAGTGGATACAAAATCGACCTTATCCGCAAATACAATTAAATATATGGAGATAACGAACAGTATTTAAGCTCGAAAGTTCATAAAACAATACAAAATGGGAACAGAGCAAACACAGACCTCGAAAACATCAGAGGTGGGATCAGTTACCATGGAGGAATGAGCATTCCCTGCCGACCTGTCACAACCGCCGTGTGTTCCTTGTCATAACTGGTTGATTGGGAAATGACGGGAAAATCCGTCGACAATTCAGTGTGTAAACTATACACTGTTAGCACTGAGCTAACTAAATGACACCACCGCCTCCCGTACAATTACAATGGTAAAGTGCATGTTTTTCTCTGGGAATCCCAAAATAATAGTCAGATAAAAAAGTAAAATAGGAGGTCATAATGGGATTATGTTACATAGAATCTGTGAATGTATGATTAAATTTTATTCAGTGGTATAGGAGAAGTTGTGGATAAAAGATGGATACCCTTCGATATTATAGAATGTATGGCAGGACATTGTTTCGATATGAGAAACTCAAAATATGTGTCCGATCAAAAAGTACATTAGGGGGTGCATCTGAAGGTTTAATCTTCATTTCAAGCTTATGAATTTACTTGGCAAATAACAGGAAAGAACAAGGATAAGAGTAGTCATTTGATTTATGACTTTATAATGGTGAAAGGTCAAATAGCTCAAGCTTACCATGATCTTAACAAAGGTACAAGTTATCTTGTCAAAGCAAGATCAAATATACAACCTTATTACGACTGAATCTCAAGTCAAGAAAAGAACAATGTTTTAAATGAAAAATTTATTAAAACAATTTCACAAAAATAAAACTGTAAAATATAAAATCCAATAAACTTTTACATACATTTCTTGTTCAACCGAATAAAGCTTTTAAAAGGTTGATTGTGTTTAAAATACAATGTGATAGATTTTATTTACATTGCTGGGAAGTGACTAAAATACTTGAAATACATCGTAAATGTACATATTCATAGTCGGGTTAAATTACATGTATGTACACGTATAGCAAACTGAACTGAAGTTTAAGAGTTCTACAAAATTAATTGTAGGTTTTAAAAATCTAAGAAACGTTTGAATATCTCTTAATGTATGAGGAGGTAATAGTCGCAAATATTGACTTTTAATCTTAGGTCTCAAATATCTAAAGCTTGGCATGGGCATAACATATTAGAACATATATATCATATAAGAAAGTTTTGTTTCAAACAACAGCTCAAATATAAACACTGAAACGCAATTTATCTAACAAAAGAAAAATGAAGAATTTGTATCAATGTATAAAGTCGACATACTTTTTAGACTCACTACAATACTAGTATAGACATACGACACTATACTTTAGAATATAAGTATAGTATTTATTAACTGTGGAGACATGATATATAAAAATAAATCTTTGAGATACAAATTCACGTAACAATAAAAAAAAGTGCATCCCAAGACACTGTCAATTTCCAGCATTCAGGACATCACACAACACATGCAGTATATTCACAGAATCACTTAGAAATTTTTGCAATAGGTGGCAGTTTGCCTTGTTTTGATATAGGTAATGTTGGTAGTTTATCCACATTGGATGACTGAACAGGTGGTAATTTCACTTTCGTTTTGGATCTAAGCGCGGTTTTTGGGCGCCGCTTTTTCTTTGCTTCATTGTCACTATCACTATCACTACTACTGCTGCTAACGCTAGACACCGACAGACGGCGCTTTTTAGGTTTACCTGATTTCATTCCAGGAAGTTTTCCTTTCTTTGCTGCTACTGCTAATCCTACTATTAATCCAACAGCAACAATAGCCGCAACAGTTACTCCAGCTATCAGCGCAACATCTTGCCAAAAAGTGCTCTCCTTTTCTCTCTCTGCAATGTAAGACAAATGACAATGAGTTTTTTTTCTAATGATGGATACAATTTTTATTTTTACCACTAGATTGGTAATTTTACCTGTGGTGACGTAGTACTTGATTCTGAATCCCTTGAACTCCGCGGTGGCGTCCGTAACGAAGGACACCAGTACATAGGAACCAGTGTACTGGGTGATGGTGGGCCTCTCCACCCCACAGAAGGAATCCAGTACAGGGTAGGTGGTGCAGGGACCTAGGGGAACAAGATACAGAGAAAACAACTCAGAAGTTGTGCAGGGGTGAAGTTTGTATGATATTCTAATTTTGCTAGAGTGATAAAATCTTAACTATTTGTCATAACTGGTATGGTTATGTTAAAGTAAACATCTTTTAAGTGTAATTACCAATTCAGTTCATCACAAAATGTTACCTCTGTAAACTGTAACCTTGTCATATGAACAGGAAGGATTAGCCTCTATTCTAGAATCTTCTACTTCAAGCTTAATATAACCACTGTCTGTAGGATTGTGGATCAGCCAGTAAACTGTTGTCGAGCTGAAAATTTCAACCATACAAACTTTATAACATTATGTTGATGATGAAAAAAAACATTGTGTAATGTTATTTTAATGCATAATCATACTAACTTGTCATAGTTGTTAGGGTAATTAGGGGATTCAAAATACTGGGCTGTAGAATTGGCAACAAGATTGGTTACTCCTGCTTGCGGGACACAAGACGGAGCGGCTGAAAAATGTTTCTAGATTTAGTTCATATTGAATGCAAAAAAGTTGATTATATCTATGCAACAATGCCATCTATATCAATTTGCATAACCTGATACCATCGACTTACAGTAGTTTGATAGAGCTGTATACTCCAGATGGAACCCCCTCTGACCGACGGATCCGTCCGACCGGAAGATGATATACAGCTTGTTGCTGGTGGAGTTGACGCTGCTAGAGATCTCCCCGCAGTAGGTTGCAATCACAGCCGCCTCACCACTACCACCTGTGATCATAATTCTTTACAACTTAAGCATAGGTATTCCCTAACTTAAAAGCACATTGAGACATATGACATGAAAATTGTTGCATGAAAAGATTTAATTTTTAAACTTTGTGCATTTTTAGACTTTTTAAATTAAAATATAAATTAAAGAGTTATCCTTCATGGTTGAGGATCGGAGTACCTTAAATGGAAGTATGTATTTTTCCAGAAAATCCAGATTTATCTATACTTCGTAAAGTTGGTGCATGTAGTTTCCAGACATAAACTAAATAAGCCATCATAATCTATATATAAACTTTGGTAAGTTCTCACCATCGTGAATGTTGACAGAGTCCCCTATACACCCCTCACTGTCCTCCAGATAGGAATCTATCACCTTCAGCTGAATAACACTTCCCTCTGGTCCCTCTATCAACCAAGAGCACACCAGGTTCCTGTGGGAGGAAAATCATTCACTGACTCATAGTCATGGTTAAGTTAATAGTAAATATTTTAAGTCTACTGAAAACTATGGCTTTTTTTTCTTTTGCTACTTTCCTTCGCTACTTACGGTGAGTAGAAGATTGGGTAGCTTGGGGACTGTATAAACTGTGTATCATTGGTGGCTGTTAGCTGAATGGTGCCACTACTACACACGTCATTCGGTGGCTGTGTGGTGGTCGTTGATGGGGCTGGGGTGGTGGTAGCAGCTATAAATGTCGATATAATCAGTCATTGTGGGAACTATACACACAAACTCGTTTTAGTTGGAATCTTCTTAATGTTTATTTTATATAGTTTCAGGTTATTTTTTTATTCGTTTGTTATATAAAATCAGTTGCATGTTATTTTATTTTTTATCCTAATCTAAGTCTTTTTAACCGAGAGAATTATTATCTTACAAGGTCCTTCTTGTCGAAAGCTCAGGACAAACCCATGTCTTCTCCAGCCGCTCGCAATGGAATTGAATTTGACAAAGGCATCTGCTCCACTAGATAAAAATGTCAAAGTATTCCTGCTGGGGAATATGTCTCTACTGTCACAGAAGGTCTGGGTAAGGGGAGCAGCAGTAGCGTCGGACCCTGATACAAATTTAGAGGAGAGACTCATTGAAATTTTCTAGGATCTAATTAATTTTCAAAGGCTTAAGTCATTATTATGATTTTATTATATGAGCATAAATCATTGATCTCCCTATTTAGAGAAAAAATACATACCATCATATATATCTAGTGTGTCTGAGAAACATTCCTCTCCACTCATCAGATCAGAGAATATAATCTGTATTTCTACCTTTGCCGTTGATCTGATGAGCCACTGACATGTGGATGGTCTTTTTGGAAAAAAAAAAAGAAAAGAAATGTCATATATCCTTAAGTCTATTTCATCAAGATTTTAGTTTCTTTCTGGTTTCTAAATATTCATTACTGGTTATATATAGAGGTGCTTTTTAAAGATATTGTTTAAAGTAAATGAAAAGGACGGAGCAAATGTTTCCTTACTCGTCGTAGGAGTCGGGCCATTGTTTGTTGGTCAGGTACTGGACGGTGCTGGTTGGTGTCAAAGTTACAATAGTAGAAGCACAACCACCCTGATCTACAAAATGTTCAATATGTCTTTGAATGATAATACTTTCAAAAATACTTGAACACTTCATACAAAAGAATTAGATTTATTTGATTTTTTATTTTACATCAAATCTTAAGCTACCTTCCGTTTTTCCGATGAAGTATCTCATTGTGAACCCGGCCATCTCTAAACTGTAGTCACTTTTGAGTCGGATGAGTGCATCTTTTCCAGTGGACACAAACATTCTACCCTGGCGAGCTGTACCACACACCGTTACGGCATCACCGCTAGTGCTTGAACCTGTAATCAAACCTCCTCTTTAATCACAACAGAAATTTTGATATGGAATACAAAATGAAAAGATCACCGGCTTTTTACATTGCTTATGACAAATTGTCAAACGAACCGTCAAAGAACTGGAGGAAATCGTAGACACATTCAGGCCCCTCGCCGTCCTCTATGATGTACTCCCGCATGTCCACCACCACACGCTCACCATTCCCGGCGCTTATCAGCCACTTACAGTCCATATTCCTGTGGAAATCGAGGTAATTTTAAAAACTGTCATCTTTGTTGATTTTTGGGGGACCTTTTTGTGACTTTTTTAAGGGACTTCTCCGCTGTATTAATAATGCATTGGATAATTTTGTTGTTGCATTATCAATTGATTGACGAGGAAGAATAAAAATTAGTATAATTTAAAAGAGTGTTAATTTTTTAAAAATGTCCTTTAAATTATGAGCAGCTTCAAAACGAGATTCATCATATCATACAAGATACAAGACTTGCGCATGGTGGCCTTAGCAACAAACAGTTAAAATCAGGCATAGGTAAAACTTCTGATATTCTAAAATACAGTATTTGGTTTTAGTATTATATTTTCTGTAATTAACACAAGATCAACTGTGCAACATCTATTTGGTTTAGAACATGCAGAGTTACTAATTATATCTTCGAAGGTAAGTCCATTGATATTCTCAATATTAATTGATATATAACCAATATATTGAGATCTATTAATTTCTTTGCCTTGATTATGTAATTTAAAGCCCATGTTATGTCGATTGATAATTTGTGTCAGCACTGTATCCTGAATGCAGAGGAATGAAGTCATTATCGTCATTTTCAATTAAATCAGGGTCTGTTGAGACGTATGCATTGAAATATCCACATAATAGAATATTATCCAGTGATTTGTAACGAGACATGTCTTTTCAAATGCACTCAAGAAAACCTTTGGAACGATTAATTTTCTGGGGGTTTCACGTCTCATGAAGATGAATAAATCTTGATCAAAATTGGAAAAAAAAAACTCCAACTTTTTTATTCACTGAAATTCAGATTTTATGTTCTATATAATAAAAAATATAATTAGCTTCAAATATCAAATATAATATATAAAATATATATTATAGTATTTGTATAGCTGATTACAATAATATAATAAACATTTAAATAATATACAGTAATAATGGAATATTTCTCAAAAATAAGGAAAGTTGTCAATGGAAAAGGTGAAGTCATCTCCTTTGTCAACCAAACTTTGTTTATCGTTTATAGTCAGTAAAATATCCAAATATGATACAGCTGTTGAAGACCCTGTGATATCATATTTCAAGTTCAGTTTCTCTGAGATATATCGAGTCAACATATCAATGAAAATATATATTGTTAACATATAAGAAAATAGTCCATATGGAAGGGGCTGTTGTCTATATCGAAAGGTTTCATTTATCGAGAGAAATTGTTGTATAGAGTGTAAAAAAGTCATGCGTTTAGATGTTACAGATTTTTAAAAAAGGTGATTTCAAATTTTCTTTAAGAGGTTTTGAAGACCCACATCTGATTTAAACCACTTTTAGAATACGCTGAAGCGCAGTATGTCTGATGTTTCTCTTTTACAGCAGTTTTAATAATTCTGGGAGTAAGATAAGGGTTTGGTAGAGAATTTGCTGGACCCTTCTTTATAAAAATAATTAGAATCCATTGCAGTTACGGTAGATCGAACTCATCTTGGTTAATTGATAAATTGAAAGTATTAAACACTAGAATGTGATTTTGAAGAATTTCTTCCTTGGAAAGTGAACGGTGAGTATGTGTTGTAATTCCAGACGTAGAATTTAAACAAAGTTCTTCCAAAATACAGTTGTAATAATGACCTTGCAAAGACAACAGTGTTACTGTTATATATATCTAATATATTTGGGTGAAGATAACAGGTTTGGATATATTCAAAGGTTTCTTCCATTATGTATTTTATTACTTTTATGGTCTTTGCAGTTGGGAGTAAGTTTGTTTTTTATTGATTCCTTTTACATTAGAAGTCCTAATGAGTAAGACGCTGGGTTTCGTAGCTGTTGTGCCGTGCTTTGGCTGAGGCTCTCCAACTTTGGAAGTGCTCACTACATGAGAATAAGACATGGGAGTTTTAAACTGGTTCTCTATTCTCTCAAGTGTTCCGGTGACATCATTTTCAAATTTATTAAGGAAAAGACAAGCATTTCAGATCTCTTTTAATTCTCTTGCACACTGATTGAACTTCTTAAAGCAGGTCCCATTGTTTTGATGGATAAGATTCACTATATATGTCTTTTCCTTGGCTGAGTTCGAGTTCCTTGCATCAGTCGTTGTACTTTCAAATCTGTGTAGATTTAATGTCTGTCGGTGAAATGCAATTTCTCTTGACCCTTTGCATGAGCAGACTTTTTCACCAGTGATACACCTGCTCATCAATTTCTGTAACTATATATTCAGTGGTTGACTTTTTTAAGAACTTTGTTAAGCAGGCATTTCAAAGTTGCAAAATATTTCTCCACAAACAACATGCTTTAATACCCTGGGTTCTTATAATTCCAGTTGTTATGAAAAACTACCTTTGTACACGAAAGTTTTGATTTTTCCCCTTATTTCAATAACAATGGAAGAATCCTCCCATGCAAGGTAATCATTCCATTTGATGCTGTATTTATTCCTTTAGGCCAAGGTTAAGTGTTAGACAATATTTCAAAAGGTATCTGTACTTGGGTGTTACTTACCTTAGTCAATGTTCAATACCAGGACTATTAGTGTTATGAAGTCAATGTTCAATGAAGTATCCATGTTTGAGTGTTTTTTATTCAAGGGCCCATAAGGTAACCGTATTTGAGATATGTGTGTGGCATTAGTGATATATAGACAAGAGTACTTACGAGTAATAGGACACCTTCCATCCGGGGGAACTGAAGGTCTGGAGGGCCCGGGTAGCAGTAAGACTATCAGTGGTCACCAAGTTATTCGCACTACATTGACTATGGGCTGTGAAAATTAAATGACATGTATATTTTTATTTTCAATATTCAATGGATGAATTTCCAACCTTATGACTTTTATTCTTGTCAAACTATTGTACATATGTAGATAGAATTGTCCAAAATGTAAAGCAGGGGAAAATGCTCGCATCATTCAACCACAAGCAAACTAGATTGAAACGATTGGAAGTATTCAAAATCGAGCAATTTTAAACAACCTTTAAAATTCAATGCCCAACCTCATTCTGATTCAAACAGTATTGAAGACTGTTCTGGAAACATGAACAATATTTGCAAGTCTGTATAGTAAAACATTTATATGGTATTGTTTGGGACTTGTCTAGTTCAAATTATGATGTGTTTTTACATTCGTAAACTCTCGGTCTACAGAACCATTTTTGACGCATCATTCGTTTCCTTAGATCATGATATAATAAACAAATAAAACATGAACCATCTAAGGCGAAACAAGTTTAATTTGAAATGAGAACTGGAATGAAACAAATTATATAGAATTTGATTGTCTTCAATGCATTCAATTATCGACGTCTAATTGTCATGAAATGTAAAGTCAAAGCTTCAAAATATCGATCGATTGATTTTTCTGTGCACATTGCACGTCAGGGAATTCTTAACTAAAAGATAAGCCAGAAAACCCGATTATCCGAGTAAAACTCATTTGATGATACAAAAATTTTAAACTTACCAAAGCCGAAAAAACTGCAAAATACATAGCACCATATTATCAATTTCTCCATTTTGATGAGAAATAAGTTTGGATTGATAGAGATATCAAGACCATGGAATTACCATGTTGTGTTTCTGTGTAGAAGGATATGACAACAGAACAAAGCTGTTATTGGGACCTTTAAACGTTTGAGCACTGGTGTTTTTTCGATCTCTTTATTGTTACACCGGATTGGGTTTGGGACGTTGGTTACGTTCATTCATTGACCGTATACCCTTTAAATTGTTTATAAATATCATCACGCTCTTGTAACTTTCATCAATGCATTGTTTATGTCAAAAGAATTCAATCATATAGTTTAGATCTGGCTGTTAGAAAACCGCGCGCTCATTGGTAGATTTTCATACTATGCTAAGCGGAAATCTTAATAGATTCTTGAGTACTATTTTAGAATTTTCTTACAAAGAATCAAATTAATGTTCTTAAATCATGAAATATATGATTAATATAATTTATCGCCTTATTTTGTATTATTCATCTGTTGACAAAAATCAAAATGAGTTGTTTATTTAAAAGTGATCCTTTTTTTCCCTTTTACCAAAAACTGCATTCAGCAAAGAATACAGGGTTTTTTTTCCACGCCAATGGGCGAAAAAAGTTCACATGATTCAACAAAAATTACCACAACCTCTAAATGTATCTAGCGGAGTGGAACGAACAACTCTGCAAAAAAAAGGTTTTAATTGATGCAAAGTATCCAAAGAGCAATATTTGGTAAGTGTCTCAAATGGCCCCCTAAAATGAATCTCTTACTTTTAATTTATATATAGCCTTACTCTGCACAGCTATACTGACATGCGACCTTTATTGTTAATTTTCAATTTGATCAAAATGCCGTTAATATAGAAATATGAAATCATGAAGTACATGTTTTCCCGCAATTTTAGCATATTTTGTATAAAACTGCTTATTTTCAAGCAGTTTTTCTTCCAGAAAATATTGAGCGCAAACTAGAACATACTTTAATTTTTTACCAAAGATGTATCTATTCAATACTTATTACTGACAGAAAAAATTATGCATGTTCTACAGTGCGCTCTATGTTTCCCATAAGAAAAATCATCAAAGACGTATTTTTGGCTTTTTTGGTTAGATATATAAAAAAAGTGTTATTTCCGTCATCATTTACAGCCACTGAGTGCATATAAATGTGAAAAATATATCGGAAATATATGTAATATAATCTTTTCTACAAAATAAATATCAATTTAACATATCTGAATGTCATTCTAATATGCTGATTTTTAGGGGGCCAAAATTGGCTCTTAACATATATAGTCCTTTATATATATTTGATTTTATTAACCAATTAAGTAAGTTTTTCATTGTACATGTGACAATTTAAGTTTAATTTTTTTTAATTATTCAAAAGGTATATAGGTCAACAGCTTTTGTCTTTCAAAATTTAGCTACAATTGGAGAGCTTTTCAAACAATTTTTTTAGTAGTCTGCCCCCAACCACCCCTACAAAAAATGAAACATGGTATAACGTATTAATTAAAAGACCGCATTTTTAATGTCTAGAAATTGTACCATACTTTCCATTCTTTGTTGATATTGAATATTTTTGTTGTTATATCACAGCATTGTCGTAAATGGTAGTCATTTCTCGAGGTTTGGTCCATTATACAACGAGTTTTTGAAACTGTCATATCCGTAGCATTTGGAACTGCATGTGATATGAGATGTATCTTCAATGTAATCTCTCGCTGATGGTATATGTGACATGTGATTTTCTTAGATCAAGATCATAGGTCAAGGTCTCTGATCTCCAGATAAACTTGTCACAGACAGACAGGATGATATCCTTGATAAACCATCTGTATTTCCTTTTTTGGCATAATCACAACGGGACTACAATATTTGTCAAACTTCCTTCAAAGTCAAGTGATAAGATCAAAGTACACGTATGTTTAACTTGTACAGTATAATGCAGTGCAGAAATATTTACTTGGATAAAACCTATTCGACCTTTTATCATGAGACAATTTAACAGTTTTGTTACTGATTCCAAAATTACATGGAAAATGGCAATATGACCTAGAGAGAGAGAGAGAGAGTGTGTGTGTGTGAGAGAGAGAGAGAGTTTTAAAAATAGGCTGGGACAACTACCCAGTATCCCAGAATGCATAAAAGACGTCGTCTATTCTTTGCACAACGTCTTCATTGGCAAAATTTAACTTTTGGGAACTTAATTAAACGATTAAGAAAATATTTGCAGAAAGTATTTTATTCTCGGTGTTTAAATTTTTTGTTACAAGATGACTAACACGGTAGAAAAAGATAATCGGACTTTCTCTTCTTTGGAATTGTTAAATACTTATTGAATGTTTATTTCTTACCGTAAGACAGCTGTGCATGTCTCTGTTACGTACGAGCCCCGACTCATTGGATTCAGACACATTTGTTAAATTCGTATGAGGTAAGACAATACATAAATCAAAATGAAATTTTTGGGGAATTGTTAGTCTCTATGCTATACACTAAAAGATTTGTTTTAGGTTCCGTTCGAAAATACAGTCTAATAAAAATTTCTGAATAGATAACTTGAAATATTCAATTATTTGAACAAAATGCGATCTTTTAATTTCTGTCTTTTTTTTTTTCTTTTTTTTTTTTTTTTTGCATTCATTGCTGATTTTAAAAGTATTTTGATTTTAGAAAATACAATTTCATGGTCATTTTTCTGTTTAAGATTGAATTGTTACTACCGGTCTTGTAGAGTAGGCTTTCCCCCCTAAAATCTCCCCCCCCCGGAAAACTGGCCCTAGGGTAGAATTTCCCCTCAGAAAACTGGCTCTAGAGTAGCATTTCCCCCAGGAAATCTCACACCGGAGTCAATTTTCTGGAGGAAAATCCTACTCTATGTAGTAGTTATAGAGTGCGATTTCCCCCAGAGTCAATCCCCCCCCCCAATGAAATATAATTAATGTACTTATTCTTGAGGAGAAATGGTTGGCACATTGCTACAAGAGTCCCTTCTTCAAAATGGTGACAGATGTATGGAACATACGTATATGAAAAATGAACATTGAAATTTTAAATCCGATTTTTCTTGGCTACCGCCGAATCATTTTTTAATCAAATAAATTGATAAAACTGAAGAGGACTATAAGTTTCACCTGCGTCTGTCCGTCCGTCCGTCTGTCTGTCTAGTTGTCTTTCTGTCTGTGTGTCTCAAATGGTTTTCCGCACTCTTTTTTTCTAAATGCTTGAATACATTGAGCTGATTTTTGGTACAGGAGTATATTTTGAAGAGTTCCAGTTTGAGTTTAGTTTTGCTTCAATTTTTTAAAGGAATTAGAACCTTTTCATTTTTTAACGTTTTTCCGCAATTTTTTTCTAAACGATTCGAGATATTGGGCTAATTTTTGGTATGTGAATTTCAAGTTTGCATTTCGTTCCACTTAAAAATATATACCAATCAAGACATCCATATATTTTGTTTGTTTTATCCTATTTTGAGAATATTTGCATTTCTTTGGAAACCTACTACATATTTTGGTTGAGATTCCATGATTTGAAATATATGCTTAGAAAATTTTTACAACATATGTCGAAAAAACACTCATTTACCTTTCAAAAATCAGTTTCTCGTTTATCTTTTTTTTTCTAAAAAAGATATTGCAGCTGTGGTTTATATTGACTCTGTAACGAGGGGGGAATCCTACTCTGAGAAAGAAAGAGGGGGAAATTTGGCTCTGGTGTGAGATTTCCCCTCGAGGGGAAATCCTACTCTAGAGTACGATTCCCGGGGGAAAGCTGGCTATGGGGGAAATCCTACTCTACAGCACCGGTATTTCTGTATTGTATCACTTTTTTGTAAAGGACTCTGATATATTTGTAAAAATTGGGGAAGGGTGGGAGGGGGTTAAACGACTATTTTGTTTTTTAAAAGGAATTCCTGCACGTGATAACAATTTTACAGGTTGGTAAGAGATGTATAGTCATCGTATATATGATCACATTTGTTTATCCATGCACTTATCTTCTCAAAAAAGAAAGAAAAATACACTTTTTAAAAAAATTAAAATTTACAACCAACGTAGTCCCACGCTGAGCTCTGAATGCGGGAGCCTGTTAATAGGAATTTTACAATTAATGTAGATCCAAGAACTGGAGAAAATGCTGAAATATTTCAAAGGAAAACCACCGACGAACAATCTATCTCATATAACTATCATACAATGTATATCTAATGAATATTAATTTACTGTACTATGGGTCCTTATCCAAAAGTAACTACGTAGTATATAATTTAGGATCCTATAAAGTTTGCATTTGTGATATGAACAGTAAATCAATTCTTTTCCCCTTAAAATTTAAATATTTTTATATATTATTTCATTATTTTACAAAATTCTCGGGGTAACATTTCTCCAATTTCTTATTTTACTGGAACAAATTGAGAGATCAATATGGAATCTCAAGAGAAATATGCTTTGTCATGGAAATGCAAATGGTTTAAATGTATTGTCATTAATTTCCATATAACAGAATGGTTAGACTAGGTTCTTACTTAGAGACAAAGAGATATTCCTCTGAATATACCCCTGTATGTTATTTAAAGAATTCGTAATACAGAAATTTAAAAAAGGTCACGGAAGAGTTCAGAGACGATCAAGTACTAACGCCCTATTAAAGAATCATTTTTATAACACTATCCGCATTTATATTGGCATGGAATGGAATGGAGGATTCAAAGCGAGATCATTAAATCAGTTGCTAAAATAGTTAATATGATCAAACAATTTTGATAAAAGGAACCATTCCATCTTTGCTAATCAGTATATATTTTTATTTTGTGCAGAAAAGAAATGCAAAAAATTGTCTGCATTATCTAAAAGTCCAACTTATAAGTTTTTAATATAAATTCGGAGGCCGATTCTTGTTGGGTCATTATTTCTTCCTTGTTTCAGATTCAAATGCACATACAAGCCACAGTACTGGTCATCATACTCCTGGAAATATATCTACGTAAGTAACATTTCATTTAGCTTTTACAAAACTCTTTTTCTCAACCTCAGTGGGTCTGAGAATGAGTTGAGATTAACGAGGATTCGAGATATCGAGGTTAAAATACTAAATGAATATGTGGTCGAGACTTCTATATTTCTGCGACAGTACAATTAAAGAAGATGGATTTCTGCTATCTGTCAGCTTGGCACTTTTATGCATGCTTATCACTATTTGTCAGTCCCGCCCCTGGTGTCGCCTGTTGGTTCCGTACACCATCAGATGGTCTCCAATCTTCATCAGATATTTCGACCTTAAGCCATGACATCCTCCAGTTGGTGGTTCAGCAGTGGTGGCCAATCCACTACTCGATGGATCCTGACTTCCAGCACAGATCATCTCGGCGGTGCCATATCCAGCAGCATGACCTCTCTGCTGCTTCTCCCCGTCTTCTTCCTGCTGCCTTGCATTGATATTTCTCATCGTGTGAGCAGCTTCCACACCGATTCCACTGGGAACGCTTTGTAATTAAACACTGTTCTTGCAGTCTACTACAAGGTTTGCATATAATGAAACGTATGGAGATAACGAACAATATTCAAGATCAAAAGTCCATAAAACAATACAAGACAGGAGCAGAGCAATCACGGACCTCCAAAACATCAGAGGTAGGATCAGGTGCCATGGAGGAGTGATCATTTCCTGCTGACCGGTCACACCTGCCGTGTGCTCCTTGTCATGATCGGAAAATAACGGGAAAATCCGTAGTCAATTCAGTCTATAAATAATGGACTAAAAATATTCTTGTTTCATCAACTTGTTTTTCAATAATTTACCACGTTTTAGAAATTTTTCATACGTAGAACATGCTCTTGCGTATCGAATCAACTGAGATATATAAACTCCGTATGCAGGTGATGAAGGTATATTGCTGCATAAGTAAGCGAAGTTGACGATAGAAAAGTTAAAGTCATCACGTTTATCATAAAGCATGGTTGTTAGATTACCATTAATGTCTTTTTCAAGTAAAATATCAAAATATGAAACAGATGTGTCAGACTCTGTGGTGTCTTTTATCTCAAGCTCAGCAGGATATATCGTATCGACATAAGAATAGAAATTACCATTGTTAATTGACAAAACGTCGTCGATATATCTATTTTTGCATTCATATGAAGTGTTTTCGAATTCTTTTGCGTGATCAGAAGAAAACATTGCTGTGGCCTTCAATACAACATTTAGGTCTGCAAATAGATATTGTCAATCAATAAATTAGAAGACCTGGTCTCCAAAAACAACATAGATATTGTCAAGCATCTTTTTGATGTCAACTTCAGAGTACTTGTGTGTACAATCAAAATGTTTTTATCAAAATAATTTTGCAAATGACCAATGACAAGGTAAGTAAATGAACGAGTTTCATTTGTATTGAAAAAATCAACTGTCAATAATATGTCGAGAAGGGGGGGGGCTGTGTATAAAGTTGAAAAGTCGCCTCTTCACATTTTTTTTCCAATGGCACAATCAGCTCTATTTCGATCAGCGTTTGGTCGTTGATTTTTTTTACGATGTTAGAGAAAACTTACTTCCTGTATAGATCCAATTTGCCCTCTATCCTGCATTGGCGTCCGCCTAGCTGCTCTTGTGTAAACCGTTGCTTAAACCTGTCCCCTGTCCCACAAACTTTATCTGTCTTTGTTTCATGTATGTCGTTTCCTTCTCCTCTCCACCTCTAGCACATCATCCAACTCTTGCAGTTTGTCGGTGTTGTCGTGTGGCCATCTTAACCTCTCCTAAGTCAGTGCTACTTGGCATTCTAATAGAAAATGCGTCACAGTCCTTCTCCTTCTCTAATTACACAGCTTGCAGTCTGGGTCTTCGCTAAGACTCCACTGTTGCGAGTTTACAGGAGATAAGCTTGAATAATGTATCGACCTCCGCAGGAACGAGATTCTGACGGGTACTTCCTCCACGGTTCCTTGCATGTTAATTTTGCTTGGTTAGTCCCACTTTATCCAGGACACCTGTTTTCCAAGGTCTGTTGCTGATCTTGCTTTACGTTGATCTTCCTCAGTGCGCCGTACTTTAGACTGAACCATGGTGCGCCGCTCCGATACTGATGTTTTTAACCACTGCTGGAAATGTGACCTTTCCACGCCCTGTCGCCTATTTTTTTGCGTTTCACTGATGTTTCGTAAGTATAACATACCAATAATCTCAACTTGGTCAGTTGATGCATCTGCTGATCCTTTTTCTTTGCAGTGTTTTATGGACTTTTGAGCTTGAATACTGTTCGTTATCTTCATATATTTCATTCCTTTCCATACCTTGATCCCTGCTCCTGAGACCATGTCGTCTCGTAACTCATGTCCCTGTTCCTGAAATCCCGAGTTTCGTAACTTTATTTCCAAGCAGCATCTAGTTACCTTTAATTCTTCAACTCAGAGAAAAATATTATGCATATCTGAGTTGACATGCTGTAGATTCTAACTGAGGTAAATGATGGTGAATCTCCTCAAATGCCAAATCACTTTTTTTCAACATGTCTTAATGCGACTGTAGTAGCTGCAATTTCATATTTGAGGAGCAGCTACAAAATAAGTCTTGGTAGAACCCCGTTCTAGTAAATCCTTATATTTTTCAGTTAGTTTATCTTTATTAAACACTTCAGCAAAGAAAGGAGCTTCTTCGTTGTGTCTTCCATGCTATCTTTGTCCGTTAGGAATTCAAAGATTCAACTTCATTTTCCAAGCATTTAAAAAGGTTCCCTCTATTGATGGGATCTCCTCTGCTTGAATTAACATCTTGACAAGCCGGTTAACACAACCATTCCTAAATATGAGACATCTCGATTTCATCGCATGATCTTTATGAGTGCCCAGGAAATGCTTTCTTGTAATGTTGATAGGATCCATCTAGCCTGTATATGAGTTGTTACTGTCACTTTAAGATCATTCATAAAGGTTCCGATTGTTGGCTGATAAATCCTCGAGTCCATGCATTCTTGGCCCTCTTGTTTCTCTTTCTGCAGTTCTGGTCACCATTCCAATTCTCGTAACAAATAAGATTAAAGAGATTGTTCATCTTGTGACTATCTTTTTCTCTTTTTCTCTACACTTTAATTGACAGGATATGATAAAGTTATCGATAGTGAACCGGATCTTCATTCCTCCTGAGTAGCTCTTGACAATCCCCTGAAGCTTCTCTCGTATGGTACAGCTCCATCGCTGCTTCAATCAGCTTGTGAGACACAGCTCCATAAGTGTTGGCTAGGTCTAACCATATCGCTGCAAAGATTTTCTTGCCTCCCTTGGTTTCCTCTATGAGCTTGCTCATAAGACATGTGTGTTCTATGCATTCAGAGTACCCCAGAATGCCTGCTATTGGTATAAATACCTATGTGACTGTTCTCTACCCTGTACCCTGATATTGGTTTTGCTAACTCTAACATGAAAATTTTCACATCCATATTAAGCAACGATATTGTTCTAAACTGGTTGACTAGTTGATTATCTGAGAGTTCTATTTCGGTACAAAATATCCCTCTGCCTCTTTCCAGCATACTGGTATTGACCTGTTCAGGAAACTTCCTAAATAACGTTAAGCGTCTCTTGTAGAATATGCATGGTATCCGATTTGGTCCGAGGCCTGAGCCTGGTCCTCGTTTCTTGACCACTTCATCATTTGACCCATCTTCACCCAATAAGGGTATTGACCTGCTGTAAATATATGCTCAATGGCCCTGAGTGCCGAGTATAGGATAAAATTTGCAGTTCTCCACTGGCAAGTGAAGGCGTCTCCATATGAGTGAAAAATTACCGAGAGGGACGTTAAACAACATACAATTAATCAATCAATCTTCTGCCTGCTCATCCGTCACAGTAACTCAGTCGGAAGAGTGCTCGCTCTATTTTCGGAAGATCGTGGGTTCGAATCGCGGCGGCGCTGACAGGTCGATAAAAAAAGATACTAGATGGTTGAAGATCCCGTGGCACGACAGGCGTTGGCACGATAAAGATCCCTCTCTGCTCAATTGAGTAACAAGTAAAGGTCTAAATTTGAAGCCCTTCACATGTATATGGTGACGTCTCTTTATGAGTGAAAAAAAAACTCAGTTCATCCCTCTTCGTAGCCTCTGACCTGCTGTTCCTGCATATTCCCAGTCCTTCACTCTTCTTAACCGTTCACTCAGTTCTTTTAGTTCTGGCCAATATTCTCTGATCCTTCGCTCCCGCCTGCCTGGGGTCTGTTCTCCGCTTTTCTTTATCCTTCCTAAACGGATCTTTTTCAAATGTAATATTCCATGTTGGTAAATATCTCTATCTGCCTCTCTACATTACCTTGCATTGTTGACTGAATGATCATTCTGACATCTTGATCAAAGCCAGTCCACATTCTTTCGGCCATGATAGCCTTTTTTTCTTGACGTTCCTTTGTGTTTGCTGGACCTGATTAGCTCAAGTACCAAGTTCCTCCATTAAGTCACCGTTGCTGTCCTGGGACGACTCAGACACGGAGAAAGTCATGGCTCTGTGGGTTGTATCCTGACCAGGATCCTCCTGCGTCTCACCGGTTGGTTCGTTCTGTATTGCAACGTTATCACATCGACTTCCTGCTAGAGTTATCCTCAGTCCTGGGATGATTTACAGACTTGATCGTATTTACATGTACATTCCTTATTCAAATGTCAGTTGCACCATCCTTTCCATAGACCATTAACTTGTCGTTGCCCTTTGATCTGCCAACCCATCCCTCTCAACCCCCTCTCGGGGAGTTGCTAGGAGTTGATTGTTGATCTTTTTGTTCCGTCGAATCTGCACCCCCCAGAAACTGTACAAAGGGAGGCTGCCCCTTCCCCTGGTACTCATACACGTGTCCAGTCTGTCTTTCCATGGTTTCCGAGATATCAGTGTTCGAGACCGATACTTGTTCTTAAAAATAGCATATAACCTGAGCCTAGGAACATTTGGGTATGTTCAACAGAAAAAGATGTATGAAAATTGGTGTCCTGACAATAACTTCCTATTGAATGGAAAATCGCTGGAAGCACATTCTTTGTAAAAATATTGCGGATGATTTTAGGGTGTATCATGAACTGACGGCATATGATTTTTTGTATAGAAAAAAAATATTTTGGAAGTTGCATGTCACCAACTGGTATTGATAATATTACCAAATCGAGTGAGTCATATCAATAATTAAACAATAAGCGATATGTCTCTATGAAACTTCGTCGGAGAAACTCATTCATGGCAAATATTTATTCACTGCATCCAGATTTTCAATATCGAATGAGACATATTTTTAAAGTTTATTTAATAGTGTTTGCTGATTGAAAACAATTCTGCACCTATTTATTCAGGTGTAGATGCATCATGCAGCAACGCCTCAGATGTTCTTGACGTCACCGCTACGTCCGATGCCAGGAGAATTTTTTTCCCAATAACAAATGCACCGTCCTCGACGTAAGATATTTTAAACAATGATAAAATAAATGTGCTCAGTTTCATATTCTAATCTCTCATATATATTTTTAATCACTAAAGCTCGAAGACTTTCTTTTAATTGTTGACTGAATCATGGTTCAATAATCAATATGCCTTACAGATTTCTAAGATTATTTTTAAAAGTGTATAGTATATTTTCGGAATACAAAAACAAAGGTAACAATTTTGTCTATGTCAGGTACGATATTTGTTACGACTGGCGGATCACAGGACAGCCAGGGGAGATGATGGAGTTATATCTAGTGAGAACATATCAATATGACCAGCCGTGTACCGTGGGACGGTCCTGTCTCCTCATTTATGACGGTAATCACCAAATTATAGCAGAATGTAGACTATTTTAAGGGTGTTTACCATAAGAAAATACATATACAATACAAAGTATAGCGTATGCAATTTTACCATCCAAATACAGCGTGTTATTTATGTATTCTACCTTTTTAAACGTTCTGTAATAAAATTCGCAATTATTAAGCACTTTTATGTACATGTATGTACATATATTTATTGGCAACCATGATTAAAAAAATTAAGTAAGGTAATGCCCAAAAACTTTGTCTCGAGCTAGGGGTAAGTTAGTTCAAAATTTATTTTTGACTACATTTCAAGTGTCCTTCATGTTTAAGCAATTTTTTTAATTTATGAGAGCAAATTCAAATTGGTGATACTTAGGTTTAGAGTAACTTCCAATTCTGTTGTACAGGATATAATTTCTCAGCGATGTTTGGCTTCCGGAAGATGAGAGAGGAGGGCGGAAATGTAACGGAGGCCCTGCGCTTGGCATATCCAATCCACCAGCATGTGTTCATCCGGTTCTATACGTATGAAAATAGCGGATTCGTCATTCAACATAGATCCAGAAATGATATAGGTTTTATTCTTTGAATTTACTCAAAATTAAGAATCAGAAAATGAAAATGTGCATAGCTGTGAACGAAATGTCTAAGGTTAAACAATTCAGAGTTTGCACTTATCTCAAATAAGGGTAGGATGTCTTTTTTCTGTAGGAATTATAGCATATATATGTACACATTCTTAGTTTGTAAATTAAAAAATATATATATATAATTCGATAAAATAAATTCAATCTTTTTTCCTTATATATTTGATTTTGTTTATGTGCAGCATATTTTAATTCGAGCCTTGTTTCTGAATGGATACTTCGATTAATAGCTGAGGTTCATAAATATTTATCTATTACAGACGACTATGGGTTTGCCAGCGACAAGAAAAAGACGATCGGGATCGCCCTAGCGACCAGTGGGGGCGCTCTGGTTTTCATTATTATCGCCATCTTTACGGTCCTGTCCTGTAGCAGGGACAAAGGCAAGGAGACGGACAGCCAGAGTGGACTGGTCCCCGAGTCCGCAGGGGACCAGAATAGGGGGATAGGACTGTTCTATAAAACAAACAAGAGACAAAACATGTCAACGTTATGATGATAGTGAAAGGTTCCCATTAAATTACAGTATCGAGAGAAAACTGTAGCATTTTTTATCGATTATGAAAGTAACAAGTTTTTAAGATGATTCGACGAAAATGTGAAGCAGTTTAATGTAATTTGTAGATATGATGAATGATTCGTAATATGTCTCAGGGGCGATAATTTTTGCAAGGTCAACTTTTTGATGATACTAGATGTTTGTTTGAGTTGCTCCTCTTTCCTCACTCTCCTTCAGCTTATGGGTCCCTGGGAAGGTACATTGTGATAAATCAATTTAGAACATTGTAATTTTTATTTGACAATACATTGGCTATGATTGATTTTCATAATTATTTATCAACATTACGACAAAGTTTATTGAAATATTAGACTGACTGATAGATTAGGAAGACCGCCTTTGTTTGAGAATTCCGATATTGTTCGGTTGATGAGAAAATAAACTCGGTGGACAATTGAAGGGTTCCCAGTTGAAATGGTAATCGTTTGTTCATGCGTAAGTTTACATGCAGAAATTCTTTAACGATAGCAACAATTCGCTAAAGGAAAATATGTCCGGGATACGGGTTATTACTCTCCTGAATGGGTCCAATAATTAGGTACATTCAATGGGAACCCGCCATCATTGGCAAACTGGAAAATGTCATACTGAGACCGATAATGATCGAAGGAAAGGAACGACAGCCTCTACGTTCGCGGACTAATTTTTTTTCCCATTTCAGAGTTCAGATTTTTAAAGTACAGAGGGGGGTCTGAATACATATTGAAACATTTCAATAAGAAACGAGAAGTGGCCGAATACGAGGTTATAAACAAGGGATGAATAATTAATACCGCCCTGTTAACTTTATCACCTCCATAAAACATGATCAATAAAATTTATACATTCCATGCGGTTTTAAAATATACCCACTTGAAGAAATTAAAACAAATTTATGGGTACAGGTTTTTTTGTAAATTATGATAGATGCCAAATGGTGTGGAACCGACGAAATGTAACCATTAGTGGAACTATACAAGTTGTGACAATATCAAGTTGAATAAATGTCACATGCGACTAATTTTATCATTAAATCTCCTTACATCTCAAAAGAATCATACTTTACAGATTATAGAAACATCCACAGTGCTAAAATAAGACGAACGCTCATTGTTACACGTCCGTCTTTTGCTATTACACAGTTTCCAGCGTATCGTATATTACTCTATGATATATTGGGATTGATTTTCATCTTGGATCATGATAGTGGGTAAATTTTCTACCTGACAGGTGCGAGAATAGGACAATATTATTAATCCAACATCCGTCCAGAGAGAAACAGAGATAATCAAATGGCATTGCTCGGTTCGGATGCAAGCGCCTTAGCAACGCATGCCAAATAAAAGCGCCGTTGCTCTATCATTAAAATATTTGTCATGTGATGAGTTCCCACGCGCTTCGATTGATTCTAATACTTTAATTCAACTGTCCAGTTTTTATCTCTGATAACTTTCTATGCCCCCTCCCCGTGCCCCGTTTGTTTCTCACATCTATGTTATATACCTTTAACCACAAAAGAAAGGAAATCTCACCCTCAATATTTCGCCAGCATTTTAAAGATTTATATCTGATAAAATTTACATAAAGCAATTTCCACTTAAAAGCGAGAGTTGGCTTGGAGTGGAAGGATTCCGTATATTGTAAATAACGGCGCTTTATTCCGAGGTTGTAAAATCAAACGAGGAACGATAGAGTATTGCAGAAAGCCAAACAGCGCAGAAAGCAGTGAACTGGCCGATAGAGTGATGAGAGAGGGCGACTAGTAGCAACAGACAAAATGGTGAGTAGCACTGCTTTGTAATGTGAGTTGCATAAAATACATTTAGGTAGGCTTTAAGCAATGACTTTTATGTTTGACTTCTTCAATACATCTTTTTTCTCATTAAACTGATGCTGTTGGAAGGAAATTTTTCAAGCGTTAATTAAATTAAAGTGTTTTGAATGCTTCTTTCTAGAAAGTTATGTAAAGATCATTCTTACTATACAGTTACACTGGAGAGTATAAGATCTGTGTAAGTAGACCAAAGCAATGTGTTAACTGTCAAAGTAAGTCTCGAGATTTATGATTTTAATAAGATTCTCAGTCAATAGCGGGTAATAAATACGTTGCCATATAACACATGTTGCAAAATCCGGGAGAAAAAAACAAATTGGCATGATTTGATCGTTTTCTATTTTATTTTAAAATCAATAAGTACACTGTACAGAAAAACGGACGAAAATAATCAAACAGCAGATTGAAAATCAACAAGTCTTATAATTTAAGTACACGGGTTTTCCTTTGAATTATTTATGTGTATTTCGTTTTAATTTGTAATCAGGAATGTTCTTTATGATTATCGTGAATTTCTTATTATTAAGATTCGTTCTACTTGTAACCACAACGGTTTATTAGTAAACAAGACTTTGTTTCAAGTAGTTAATGAATAGGATCTTGTTTACCCTAATTTTTCAGTGATTTACTTATTCTTGATCACTAAGATTCTTCATTTTCGATAAGGTTTACATGTTTGCCAACATGTAAGACAATTATTGATAACGTTCATGACTTAAAATAATTTTTAAAATTGTGTTTTATCAATAGCTGCAGGGCTGGAATTCCTTGATTGGGAAAATGCGGACTGCCAAGCCAGAGAGATGCAAAAAACTTTTGATTTTTGTCCCTTGCTCATTATCTTTTTTTTTTCTTTTGTATCGTACATGTATATATGTTTCTTCGCGTGAAATATTATTTTCTTTTATGAGCTTTGTATTTTACTCCGGTTTCTTATATTTTTAAGCCTTATTAATCTAACTGTTTAATGGTTCTCAACAGCCCTATATTGTTTTGGAATATCCGATTTTTAAAAAATGGCGTTCCGACGTCCATATTAGGGTCTTGCTAGAATAAGAATAATAACACACTTTGAACACTTTTGAAAGATAAATATATTATCAGGAATAGGAGCAACATATATGATTAATAAACATTTATCATGATTTAATTAGCCGCAGAAACGCAGATTAAAGAAGAAATAAACTAAGAAGCTTGCAACAAGAAAAAAACGTTTATTTTTACAATACCTGATTGAGTAGCTGTTTGGTTTGCTCGATTAGAGAGCTTTATTTCTGCAGTTAACCACAACCTTGTTTTGATAGTTTTCTCCATAATCTTCAGAAAAACTGTGATTGCGAGTTTATTTTTTCTTTTTCTCAGTAGGGTATTAAATGATATTGATTTAATATCAAGATTCAATGGCGAAAATTCAGGCCCAGTGCACCCTCTTATTCTTATACAAGTATGGTTATTGTACTCATGCTCACCCAAAGTGTTTTGTCATGGGCTCTTAGCATGGTTAACGTTCACGACATTTTCTTTGAACATATTTATGTTCACCAATACGTATAGTTTTTCTATCTCAGTATCATAATAATCATTATTTCAATCACTATTTCATTTTGATTTATTGTAAACACTATAAACGTTATTTTTAGTATGGCTTTGTGAACTACGCCTTGGAGTTGTTGGTAGTCCGGAACTTTGGAGATGAAGCCTGGGAAAACATCAAGTAAGTAAAGGAATGCTCAACTTCAGCAACCATTACTTGACAGTTTGTTTTAGCCGCACTACGAATAGGTGTATCTGTATTTAAAGCAATGCCCCCTATCATTGAATTCTATTTATAGTTTTCCTTAGAGCATGTCATTAGCAATATTTCTGTCTGATTTTACCCCTCTCCTACATAGTCAACCATTTATACCACGTCCTCACTATCTTAAGAAAACTTTGAAGATTTTTCCATCGCTTTGTGTCATTAATTTTATGTTCTTTAACTGGTTGCTTCATTTACCATTCATATAATCACTGTGTAAATGATTGGTTTTAGTTCAATGGTTTTTAACATTTGCAATTAATTTTTTTAAAATCGGACGCTAAATAAACATTATCTTGTTGAAATCTTCACTTAAAAGATTTAAGGTTCAATAGATGTATACCAAAGAATAATTTAAAACATTTGTATACATGCTAGAGCGAGATGCTTATAAGCTCTCTATCTACATTGACATAACTAAATATCGCTGTCATGTTCAGTTATGAAAAATGTATTTCCAAAACTTGGTCTTCTGTTGTAAAAAAGCTTTTTGGTGTTGTGTTCGAAAGTATTAGAAAGCTGCTAGCTCGTGTATAGAGTTTTCCACTTCAGGCAGTGTAGGTCACGGTGGGTGTTTGAATTATTAAAGTACACTTCAATTGTTTGTTTGTTTGTTTTTACACCACTTAAGTTTGTTTCAACTGTTATTGCAAAACCCAGATCAACGGCTAGCTACTGAAAAATTCGATAAAAAATATGGATTGGTCAAGACTCGATATTATTAAGGCCTCTTTCCTGTTGTTCTTAAACTATATGCTCAACTGCATATTTTTAAATGTTAAAAGAAGGGAAAATAGGGGGAGGGGTGCAAATGTTCGTTATTTTTTCTCTCTTGGATCATCTAAAATGTTTGTGTAGTTACTAGTAGCTCAATCTTGAAGTTCATTGATAGAATTTGGAAATGTTACTGAAACATTATATTATCGAACAAAATTCAATATCAATTGCTTTTCTTTTTTGTTGTTATTGTTGTTGTTGTTGTTGAACGTTGTTCATTCAAAATGAATGATGTGATAATGTTCACACACTTGCAAGATTCATCACACAAAGTTTTACGAGGTAGACTTGGAGTACACAATTTTAAGTCCCCTGAAATTATCGCTGTCTTCGGCGTTGACACGCTGATCCATTCGTGCAATGTGTGGGGGTTTTTTCTTCTCTCCGATCAATTTCTCCGCTGCAGCTGTAAATCAATTTCGGTTTGAAGTACCCTTGGATATATTTGATTTACCATCATCAAATATTTGCCTATAATTCAATCTTCTTCACCATTGTACGTCTGATGAGGGGACGAATATTGGATCTTCTCCTTTGTTGTGATTCTTACTCATCTTAGAGCACTAGTGCTCTGCTTCATGCATGACGTGCAGATGAGTGTTATTAAATTACATTATAAATTATTGGCAATTATAGTTATACTTTATATGACAAGCGATCGACAAAACAAAGTTCCAAAAGTTAAGTTCCTTGTTTTATATATGTTCCATCATTTTTTTTAAGAAAGTCTTCTGGCAAATTTGTTCTTCTATCCGTTTGTTATTAAGAAGAAAAACTAAAATCTGTCTTTTATCTTTATATTTAATTGACATTTGATATCACTGTGAAATTTTCTGTAAGGAAAAATGTCGCTATCAGTTGTGAATCACGATTCCTATCCGTTTCACACGGTTTTTTAACGGAAATAGCTGTTTTTTTTCTTAATGTTTTTTTCTAAAATTGGTAGGAAAGAGGCAGGCTTGGAAATGGAGGGTCATTTTCTGGTACGACAGGTGTATGAAGATGTGGAAACATACGATCTTGTTGGTGCTGCCTCCAAAGTCCTTAGTAAGTATATACAGCTGATTTGTATGGGAGGGTGGGGAATGTGCAAGTGTTAATCCTTTAAAATATAGTCTTTACTTTCCTAAAGAGGCAAAATATTTTTCTTCGAAATTGAAAGGCTTTATTTGCAAATAAACACGTATCTTACTTACTTCCTGTTCTGGTAGATAAGTAAAGAGTTTCCAATGAAATCTGTGTTTACGAATAAGAACCCTACGTTTATGTTTTCTAAATCATGATGTTTTGTACAGATTTACCAGCAGCTGATATTCTACAATTCTTCGGAAAAATGTTTTTTGAGTTTTGTCAAGAATCTGGATATGACAAGATTCTACAAGTTTTAGGAGGTACAACAAGAGACTTTTTACAAAACCTAGACGCCTTGCACGACCATCTTGCCACCATATATCCGGGCATGCGTGCACCATCTTTCCGGTGCACGGAAAGGAAGGAGGATGGAGCTTTAATTCTTCACTATTACTCAGAACGGGACGGACTAGAACCAATAGTGATAGGTATCGTCAAGGAAGTCGCCCATAAACTCCACGAGTCTGAGGTCGATGTGGAGGTAATAAACTACAAATCAAAAAACTGTGATCACGTGCAGTTTGCCATAACTCACAAAGACAAACAAACAGACGTGACAGATCCCGTTCTTACTCGTCAACATGATATGTTCAGTAAAAAGAAGAAGATCAGTCCTTCAACATTTTGTCGGGCGTTTCCATTTCATTTCATGTATGATCGTAATATGGTTCTCCGTCAAGCTGGCTCCTCGCTACAGAGAGTTATTCCTCAGACGGGTTCGGATGACTGTCGTGTCGATTCAGTTTTTGAAATGGTTCGTCCACATATGGATTTTGAATTTAACCATGTTCTTTCGCATATTAACACTGTATATGTGTTGCGAACAAAGCCGGGGATACTGGACTCCGATGGACTTTACATTCAAACAAATATCGCCGAGCAACATGATATATCGCGCATGCGTTTAAAGGGACAAATGATATATGTTCCGGAATCTGATATGATGTTATTTCTATGTTCCCCAAGTGTTACGAACCTGGATGATTTACATCGTAAGGGACTTTATTTAAGTGATATCCCTCTTCACGACGCCACCCGTGACCTTGTGCTGCTCTCCGAGCGGTTTGAGGCTGACTACAAGCTAGCACAGAATCTAGAAGTACTTAATGACCAACTGCAGCAGACCTACCGCGAACTAGAGGATGAAAAAGCTAAAACAGACAGGTATTTATTATAAAACTTATCTGAAATTTCTCTTTATCTGATAAACAAACGGTGTTAAACATCAACACAAACTTTATGGTTCCTAGATTGATGTACTCTATACTGCCTATATCTGTGGCTAACGAGCTACGTCATCATCGCCCAGTGCCTGCTTCCAAACATGAAGGGGTCACCTTATTGTTCAGTGGTATTGTAGGATTTAATGAGTTCTGTGCACAACACTCGGACGCTGAAGGGGCTATCATGATCATTAACTACCTGAATGAAATTTATGTCAAGTTTGATGACCTTCTAAAAACCAATATTGACGTTTACAAGGTATAGAACCAATATAAAGAATACTTTCTTATTTGAAGATAAAGAATTACATGTAGTTACACATTTCATATAAATTGGAAATCCATAACATTGAAACGCTAAACAAAAAAGTGATAGGAATTCATTTAATTTTAATGGAGATTAATTTTATGACGCTTAAAATCAATATATATTGCACAGATGGACAAAATAAATTGATTTTATTGAGATGTATGTTCTGTCAAGATTTAATATATGTACCAGGTGGAAACTGTTGGAGACAAATACATGGCGGTCAGCGGACTTCCGGAACCCTGCACCGATCACGCGAGAAGCATTGCGAGACTTTCATTGGACATGATGGATATATCTAATCATTTGAAAGATCCATATGGGAACAAAGTTGAGGTAGGGTCCTATAAATGAAGAACAACAAATCAAATTATCTATTTGCCACGTTTTACTCCGTCTTGAAATTTATAAATAAGACAAATTTCACTGTTTAGATTACCATTGGCATCCACTCTGGTGAAGTCGTTACGGGAGTTATTGGAAAGCGCATGCCCAGATACTGTCTCTTCGGAAACACTGTGAATCTAACAAGTCGTACAGAAACTACGGGAGTGAAGGGCAAGATTAATGTATCAGAATTTGCCTACAGGTAAACACGATCAACAACCTCATCCTGAAATTATTGTTCATATGTAATTCTTGTAACATTCTTTGGGTATAGCATTATTCATTTTACTTTTTAGATTCCTCACCTCTCCAGAAAATTTTGATCCTGAATTCGAATTTGAGCACAGAGGGTTTGTGAAAATGAAAGGAAAACCCGAACCAATGGAGTGCTACTTTTTGACACGAAAAGTTGTGAAAAAATAAGTTTCTGAAAAAAATTCAGTCTATTTATAACTGTGATGAAGATGGGGCGTGTAGATGCCTAGCGTACAGCATTTCAAAGAGATGAATAACCTTTCTGTGATCAATATTTATAGATGCTTGTATCATTGTGAATTTTTAGGTTTATTTAATTATTTCTAGTCATTCGTGTTACTTTCTTGATCTTTTCGATTTTTATTCGGAATAAATCAAGGAAAACCATTGTTTGTTTTTTTTTTTGGTTTTTTTTTTTTTTGGTACAAGAAAAAGACTTGATATCACATTCCCTTGTCAAGAATGTCATTGATAAATGGTGACCTACCATAATCAATGGTAGGGATGATACAGTGCCGAGATGCATCATCACAGAGCGCTGTTCTGTGGCTGCAATGCCAGAATAAAACTACTCACATCAGATGATGCATCCTCCGGCAGTTTACATGAGCGATTTGCCGCGTAAAGGCCAGAGACAGCGTGCCGTCAGATAGAGTCGCCATAAAAGATAAAGGATATATACTGAGGATGGTTTTATGAAATTGCTGTTTTCTGTTCTATCCTTCCCGGAGATTAACCACTAAATCTTTCTCTCTACGCTTAAGCTTCCTGAAGACCAAGAAAAAGCGTGTCATTTCCTTTGGAACTTATAATTTTTTGAACTAACAAAAGCAAGATTAGGTAAAGGGTCATTATAAGTTTTGATAAAACGAATGTTTGAATTTCGGGAAGGTTTTGTATATATGTATATAAACTTAAATACTAGATATTTATTTATCCTTAACTATCCTTATATAATTTCATTTCAACCTTTGGTCCAAATCTTGAACTATATAAGCTGGCAAACAAAACGACAAGACGTTTGTAAATAAAGCACTTTATTACAAAACCTGAAGAAAACCAATGCAGTTTTGAAATATGGGGGTTGTATAAAGCTCTTAAACCTTACTGGTAGGTTTCTTTTGGTTAAAAAAAAAACACTAAAGAAATTTTATTCTAAAGAATTTTTTTTGCGCAACCTTTAGCCCTATTTGGACTGAATTTAAAAACAAAACTTGCATCTTGGTTACAATCCAAATAAAAGTTAGTATTTTCGAAAAATTATGCAATTACATCTTTGAGTTGTGTACTACGTTATTGTATGTACGACATATTTATTTATGAGAACCAAATATCAGTGTTTGATGGCGAACGATCCTTTGTTGTCGGGCATATGCAAATTTTATGGAACCAGCTCGTATAAGAGAAAGAATGCAGTTCGCGACAGTAGGTAGCAGAGCTTTATCCATGTAAGAAAGCTTTCCAATCCGAATTTAAGCCTGTTTCTCCATTACTTTATCATTCATTTCGTCAATGTGACAGAAGTTCCACATCGTTATACGGAATTCATAACTAGCGGCAGTCGAATAGTAGCTTTACGATGGAGATATGTATACTTGAGGGTAAATAAATGCTTTAAATAATGCTGAGATTGTTGAAAACCAGTTTATTTGAAGTTTATTTAGTTTTGAATTTCTAGTGAATATGTACGAAGAGTAAATAGGCGTGTAGTGTTAAACTTTAAAAATTCATTATTAAGCAAATAGAGAAAATTTTATTCAATTTCTTCACAAAGTCTTGATGTTTTTTTTAATCATGTCTCAGAATTTTTTTTCCAACAATTATTTCGTAATTGATGAATCGATCATTCAAGGGGTTACAAAAAATGTAACGGTACGTGGAGCTTGAAAGCCTTCTTTAAGTCTGGAAAAACCAACCGTGAAAGGTCTCGACACAGTTCCTATGTTTACAGATTTGTAGTTTAAATAAAGTTAGATCAAATGAAATTCTTAGTTTTATTTTATTTCGGTGTGAAATTTTACTAGCAAAATGTCATGATATTTTATTGAAAATGTTAGAAATATGAGCTTCAAATCTGCACCTAGGCCCCATTAAGTGGAACAGCCAATTTTAGAGTTGGAATTATCACGTTTAAAGTTATACCTTCTCTTAAGTTGAAAAACTAATTTTAAAGTTGGAAGTATCAACTTTTAATATTCTCATATAATGGAAGTAATGAGACACCCCCCCCCCCTATTCCGATGAGCTTTCACTTGTGATACGAATTACCTTTACATGCATGATAACTTACGTAAAATAATAAAATAAAAAGTTAAATTATTTGATTGAATTATATAACAAATTATTATTAATTACCGCAATTTTGCCGATTTGTACGTATATTATTTTATCTATATATCTTTTTCAATCGTATTTCATCTACGTCGTAATTTTTTTTTATTGTTGCACTTTTGTAATTCGTTGTAGTATCGGAGATGAATAGAGGACCCCCGAGGAATATTAGTACTTTTACCAATTGGGTTATCTTCAAATAAAAAATCATCTCCACAAACTTTGCATCTTACTTACATGTAAGATGGCGTCCTCTGGGAAATTTGTCATCTTATAGCAGCCGTGGCATTAGACTTTTGCATTCAGCCATCCAATTAAAATATTGTTAAAAATGGGGCAAACGTATGTAGATTTCCTAATATATCTCCAAAATTATACGAATTATTCTATATTGCAAAGAGAAGTGGAAATTTTAACTTGCAGAGGAATAATGGGATTAAGGGGGGGGGGGGGTTAATACTTATTACCAGAAGTATCTTGAGGAAATGGTTTTTTTTCTTTTAAAAGAAGAATGCAATAAATCGGTCCAAATTAAACGAAGTTTTTTATGCGCCCGGATCGATAGATCCAGGGCGTATATTGTTTTTGTCCTGTCTGTCTGTTTGTTTGTTTGTTTGTTTGTCCCGAACTTTAACCTTCACCATAACTTTTGAACCATGAAAGATAGAGACTTCATATTTAGTATGCATACTCCACTAATTAAGCTCTTTCAAATGACACCAAGGTCAATGACCTTGTGACCTTGACTCTGGCCTATATGCTAAAAGTAGCTTTTTTCAGCAAACTGTAACCTTCGCCATAACTTTTGAACCATGAAAGACAGAGACTTCATATTTGGTATGCAAACTCCACTAATCAGGTTCTTCCAAATGACACTAAGGTCAATGACCTTGTGACCTTGACTGTGACCTTAATGCTAAAATAGCTTTTTCCGAACTTTGTTGCCGCCGGGCGCATAGTGTTTCACAAACACATCTTGTTATATTTAAAATAGAATTTGCTAATCTTGTAATTGTAATTACTAGTAAGCTATTTTGATTTAACCAATATATCGCCCTTCTGTGTTACACAATGTTGTGTTGTTCGGTTCAAAACACGATACATTACATCATTATTTATACACCATGACTTGCAACTTAAATCAAAGATCCTTCATTTATAATGAATTTACGATTTGTACAATATTAGATCGCTTGGATATCAAGAAGAATAGTAAATCTCATATACTTCAACTGTTCTTTAGTTCAATGATACGAAGAATTGCCTATACAAATCATGTTAACATCATCAAACATTCTGGGAATTCAATACTCTTTCAAAGGCAAATTCTCAGCACTGTCCGACATTTTCATGTCTTCGATGACAAAATTCTGTTTCCTCCAGAATGCGTTTTAAGATTCCCTTTCTTATAATTTTTTTCTTTCTAATATTTCTATTATGAGATCACCGTATGAGAGATGAACATGCTTTTACTTTTAATCAGGATTAATATGCTTGTACCAAATCTGTATTTTGTTGATTTTCAGAAATCTATTTATGCTAGCATGATTTAGACAAGAGCAAGGTCAATAAATTGAACATTTGATTTTTTTTAAATAAGCTTATGCATTTGTAAAAGTTTAAGCATAAAAATAATCATGTCATAGATCAGAGAAAATTTCAAAATGCGTCGAAAAGTTTTCTTTAAGAAAAATCTACACTTTTACTATTGGTATTTATTAAGCCTATCGCTCTCTTATATCTCTCTCATCACCATTAATTTGTCCTATTTCGCGGTTAAAGCAGAACGTTAAGTGATTGAGAATAACAAATCCTTATACACCATTGATTTATAGAAAAAATAGTTAGTTGTTTCCTTTGATACTGATCGGAACATTTAAGTCAATGTAAGGGAATTTTCCCCTCCATGTTTTCTTGATTTACATTCGAGGTAGTGACTGAGTTCCAAAGGCAAGCTGGAAAATCGGATATTGGCATAACGATTTAGTCGTAAAATTTCCCTCAAAACCACTATTTTGTAGGAATGGGGTGTTTGAGAAAAGCTATTGCGAACCCATCATCTATTTCTTTGTGCAATCATTCGAATTAGCATTAGCAGAGTTGCTTGGGAGCAAATAATCTGGAATTTTTTTCCATTTTAATTGGATACACGTAGACGCATTTCAAATCGTTTCAAAAACAAGAGGTCAGTAGTCAGCAATGCTCACCAGAGTAAACGAGTTGAGATATGAACAAGCTTAAATCAGTGTATACATTTATATATCCCTCTGATAATCTTCGATCTCCAATTGTGACCCCATCTTGTCCATGGGGTTAAAATTTGAAGAAAGATCTACACAACTTGAGGATGCTTTTATTCAAATCATGGTTTTGCTGTTCTTGAGATGGTTTTTTTTATTCCTGTATTCTTATGTCAAACTTTGATCATCCTTTTTTGCCCCATCTATTCTGGGGGTATTATTCTAACATATAAAACTTGAATCTACAGTATGTATCCATAAAAAAATTTTAAAAGATGCTATTATTCACTAATTAAATAATTCTTCATACATGTCCTTGACAAAAACCGTGACTCTTCATTTGAACAAACTTGAATTGTCTTCACCAATAGTGAGCACGACAAACGAACACTGAAAACTTCAGAAATGGGTCAGGTGTCATTGAGATTGTAGAAACCCTTGTATCATCAACTTGTTTATCAGGACTATGCCTCTTTTTAAAAGTTGTTCGCACAAGTAATATATTCTCGCGTATTTTATCAAGTGGAAGACAAAACCCTTAAAAAAACAAGGCGATAATGGTATATTCTTTCATTAATAAAGGAATTTGAGTACTTTATTGAAAAATTGAAGTCATCACATTTACCACAGCTGATACGTCTCAAATTCTTGTTTCTTTAATTTTTTGAATCCAATGGGATAAATCAAATTAATGTATGAATAAAAAACATATAAGTTAATTTACAAAATATCCTCTATATTACTGTAGATCACTAAATTTTCGCGACACCTTATTTCCGCGAGATA